AAGGACCATCGAGTCTATTTCATCTTATTCATTGCTTAAAATCGAACCGTTTTCTATTGCACAATTTAGATCCCAAGCTCAAACGAGCTTTCGTAATAGCAGGACGCGTAATTCGAAATAGAGGGGAAAACAGAGAAAATCCATTATTCATCGTGACTGGATTTTATTCGCCTTTGTAGAGTTTCACGTTGGAAGTTCACAGTGGAAAAACAAGCGTTAGTGTTTACCGGCGCCCATCAGATGGCGACTCTGCTCGCGACCAATGACTCGCGCCGTCTCCAACATTGTCCAACATGGTGTGCCGGTTCAATGTACAAGCATGAGTAGTACATATGTATAAAGTAAACACGGATTCGTTGAGAGATTCGAACTGAGTCTGTCGATCTATATGGTATTTCAATATCGAGTATCTTGGGATAACGGCGAGAACTTATCGACGTGCGTTACGAAAAGTAGCGTGTTTCATTTGTCTTACGAAGTCCAGCATATTTCAATCTATCCCGAAAAGAAGCACGTTTCATTGTTTCCCACGATCACTACATAGTATGTTTCACATTCAGAATTCCCATCTGGGCACACACGAATTTCTCGAACTGAAGCGATTTTAACAAAAGACCAATTACATTTTTTCGATAAATCCTTGAAGTCAAATATGTCTGCCTGCAACTTTTCTTTAACAAGATATGAATTATGAACTTTACATTTCCCCATGACTCTGCACCATTCATCTCGGGTATATACAGAATTACTTAATATAATATAAAGGATTTAAGTTAGCCCGAGGAGTGATTAACACTTTCTGTAGATCAACATTTATCGTGCAGACAGATACATTCTGAATGGATCTTTGCTTATCAATTTTCATATTGATTACCATCGCTTTTTTTATTGTTTAAGTCCAAATTTTGTTTTTCCCGCCATAGTGCCTTTTGCTTCCTGAAAGATATCTAAAAGTATAAACATTTGCATTATGTCGAAGTGTTTTGGAATATACCCAATTATTTATACACATCCATTTAATTGTTTGCGTCGCCCACCAAGTTTCCAAAACTAAGAGAAAACAGTTTTTAGAGCATCAAGACTTATTTTTTGGGAACAGCGAAAACGACAGTTATCATTATTATATCCATCACGCATTTTTCTATTTTGTATGGGTAATCCTTGTCTTCCAATGTCTTTAGTACCTAAATTGCGTGCTTTTAGCCTTTAGGTCAATTCACTAATCCTTATTTCGAATTCTTTTTCTCACGACAATTATTAGTTGATTGTGAACTTAATCACTTTTCTATAGAATATAGACAACTGGTAACTTCCAAAGTTCTATGTAGATCTTCAGAAGTTACCAGTTGTCTATGTATATAAACAGACGTTTACCTTATGAAAAAGTAATTAAGTTCAAAATGTGTAACAATGGTCATGATAATCGTAAATACATGATACATAATAAATTGATAAAGCTTTAAAATGTCTTCGTTTAGCGTTAAAAGAATTGTACAAATAATTGGGTATATTCCAAAACAGTTGGATATTATGAAACTGTTGATACTGATTCTGAGATCCAGAGAGAACCGAATAAAAAGGTTGTCAGTCATTATTTTGCTTTGCCAAATGGAGACGAACTAATTAAAGTTTGTAAAAAAACTTTTTTTGATACATTGGGTGAGTACCTTAGAGTATTTTTAAAGCATCGTAAATATCATGAAAATTATAAAAACTAATAAATAAGATTGAAAATAATTCAATTCTCCTTAAATGTTAATAACAGGCATTTCTTATCAATGGGTCAGAACAGCTGACAAAAAGAAAAAACATGATTTATTGTGATGAAAAGAAAAACGTGATTAATTGTGATGAAAGAGGAAGGCATACAAATAGACCGCATAAAGTACCAGAACAATTTAAACAACCTGCTCGTAATCATATATCGTCTTTCCCTGTAATAGATTCCCATTATTGCAGAGAAAATACATCCAGAAAATATTTAGAGGAAGGGCTTAGTATAAGTAAAATGTATTCTTTGTATGAAGAAGAAATGAAAAAAAAAAATGAAACGATATACATCACGTAGAAAATGTATCGAAAAATATATGTCCAAACTGTGCGTATGGAATTTTACGATTTTTAAAATGGCTGGTCAAGTGGGTCACTGTAATGTTTGGAAGGAGACAGTGGGAAACAGAGGCTCAAATGAAATAGCATCATTTCTATAGCAATTTATCAACGAGAAATCTCAAATTCGAGTTAAACAAGTAATGTTATGTAGCGATAACTGCGGCAGACAAAACCGTAATAAAATGGTCTTCACTATGTTCATTAAAGCTGCTGTAGATTTCAACATTACTATAACCCATAGGTAAATCCTAATTTTTTACGTTAAATAAATGGTTTCAACTCTTGTTGAACTTGCTATAATTTAAACTAAACATATATTATTTACATTTTTGCGTCATTTTAACATCCAGATTTTTTTAAATTTTTAGAAGTTGGCCATACACAAAATGATGGCGATTCAATGCATGCCTGTATTGAGCAACATTGCAAACACAAATCTGTATGTACACAAGACGAGTGGTGCAGATTTATGAGGGACTGTAAGATTCATAATCCATACAAAGTTAAGGAAAAGTTGCAGGCAGATATATTCGATTTTAAAGACTTATCTAAAAAATTTAACTGGTCTTCTGTTAAAATCGCTTCAATTCGTGAGATTCGGGTATGCCCAGATGGAAATTCACTTAATGTGAAATATGATTTCAATGAAAATAGTAGAGAAATTAATATTTTGAAACGGTACGTGTCAAGAAAGGACATTATGAACTATCAGTTACAAAATGCCTGTAATACAAAAATTGAATTATCTTTAAAGAAAAAGCAAGATTTATTAGCTATGATAAGTACAGGTGTTATCCCAACAGACTTCATTCAATTTTATAATAATATTGTTACTTAAATAAATTAGATTGTTTGTTTATATTTGGTTGTTTTATTTCTTTCATTAACCCGTTGTATCCGGAGAATTTTGAACAAAATATACGGAACATGCATATACGTCGCCCAGATTCAAAGGATGAAAAACGTTTATTTCATTAAAAATAACCGTAACCGAATTGAAACGTGCTACTTTTCGCGACTAGAAGCACGAGACAGAGTACCGAAATGTGCTAGTTTTCGTAGCGAAAAAGCACAACATGCTAGTCTTCGTCGCTATAAGTGAAACATGCTACTTTTCGAGACCACAATCGAAACGTGCTGCTTTTCGTGGACAGAAAGTCCGAAGTGCTAGTCTTCGTAAGACAAATGCAATGTGTTACTTTTCGTAACGCACGTCGATATGTATATCCTACTATCCGTGGCAGCCTGACATTCGCAGGAAGAAAATGTTCCGGTTTCGATATACCCACGCAGGATAGTCGAGAGAGGCCTTTTCCTATTCACCCTTCTCCCGAGCTTTGCACGCCGATACGCCGGCTATGTCTTTGGTGGGGACGTACGGTAAGGTCGGTAAGGCTACCCCTAGTTGGAGAAGGAGGAACAGTCGAGTGGAGGGGAAGGAACCTAGCCGTTGGTGGGGGTACATTGGGCGCGGCCTAGAACGGCCGCGCACCGCGTTGTTATAAAAATAATATCAGTGTACCCAGCGCGCTTTCTCGTTAGATATCCCGGCCAATATAGCCGCCGACAGCGTAGCACGCTGCTCTAGCCGTGTGTGTTTTTTTTTCGAACTTGACACCCGTTGTGCGTTCGCGCCTCCAATAGGTGTGCGTAAATCTCGTACGAGAAATCTCTCTGTCTCTCGACGCGCATTTATGCCCCCATTGATCGTCGCGCGTTCGTTGTGATCGCAAGCAACGGTGATCGAAAACGGCCGGCAAAGAAACTGGGAAACGGGGTAGAACGAGAGGGTGTAAAAAAGATAGAGACCGTGGGAGAAAGGGAAACGACAGACATAAAAAGAGAAGAGAGATATAGTAGTAACCGGAGAACACCGAGGGCGCACCCACGTATACGTGCTGGGACAGAAAGGCCAGTGTCATTTACGAGCGTGTACTGAAACGCGGACGCACGGGAACAGAAGCCGGGTGTCGTGGTCGCTTCATATTCGGCAGAGTAAAACCGCGCACCGACACCTTCGCCACGCGGGCCAATTGATCCACGTGCGTCAAGAATATATTGTACAATACGCGTTTTACGCACGCACCAGGAGGACCAGAAACGTAATTCAGTGGAACGCATCGTTTTCGTCCATCGGTGTTTTTTATCCTGTTGTATCACCGCGTAGAACGAGTGTACCGTCGTTCCTCGTGGACCAGAAAGAGATAGAGTGATAGAGAGTGAGCAGTAGCGGGAACCGGATAACGCACGGTCCCGGAATCGTCTTGAGCGACCAATCACGTACGACCTCTGGGCTGTCTCCTCCGTTTCAGTTGGTAAAAGTGCTCGCGCGTCTTCGATACGTGGAGGGATTTCTTCGTTGGTTGGACAAAGAGGAATAGAGAAGGTAACGGCGCGAGAAGGAGAGACGAAGTGCTGGGAAGAGAGCAAGGGGAGGCACCGTAGTAGAAACCCGTGGAGCAGAGGCAAGGAGAAAAGTACGAAACTGCTCCACCCGCGCGAGTTTCCCTTTGGCAGTCGTTGAGAGAACGAGACGAGGAGAGCGAGACTCTAACCTGGAGGAACACAGCAGCCAGTGTCGTGGATTGTTCATAACTCGTTAATATTGTTATCTCCCACGCCGTCTCGCAAATATTATTGTAACATCGTGTGCCACGCGTGATCGTGTGTCGTCATCACGAGAAAAGAGTGAAGAACATCGAGAGAGTAACGTGCTCAACGAAAAGGGCGAGAGGGAGAGGGAGAGGGAGAGGGAGAGGGAGTGGGAGAGGGAGAGGGAGAGTGAGAGAGTGAGTGAGTGGCGTGAGGACGAAAGAGGGAGGAACACGCGCGAAGGAGTACGAAATTAAGGAAACGAGAGAGGACGCTACTGTACGGACAGTCGGGCCTGCTTGTACGTCGGCGGTCGTGCCGTGTCGTGTCTTGGTCGCGTATACGCCGTCGTGTGTCCCATTTTCATCCTTTTTCTTGCTCTTCTCTCTTTCATTCGTGCTCGTTCGGTCGCGCGAACGAGAAATCAGCCAGTGTTTAGTGCCAGTGTTTGTCTACCTCAGTCGATTAGTGGCAGCTAACGGCGAAAAGCTGCATTAAAAGATATTTAGAAGAGAAAAATATATATATAGATATATAATATATAGTATAATATATATATATATATTGAACAGTGGTAAACCGCGGCAACAATTGTTGTAAATAATCCCCATCGGTTCTTGTGTGAGATTTACAACGAACTAGACGTAATCATGTCCATGGATAAGTTCGCTGAGAGTGGCATGTTGCAGAAAGAAATGGAGCGTTTGGAAATCGAAGAGAAAAACGGCGATACCACGAGGTAAATTAGTCATCCTCTATTTACGAATCTCCGGTCTCTTCGTATCGTGTTTCCGGTGAGGTTAGAAATTCGCCGACACGATCCGCCGTTGATCACGCGCGCGCCGACGAACCTTCGCGCCATTTTTTATTTATCGGTTCAAGATACACAAATATTTTCGTATACTTTTCGTGCCGTATAATACAATTGTATACATGCGTTTAGTTACATAAAACGTCGGATTATTTCCGACTGTTTCAACATATTACAACAAAGTCGAAGCTTTTCGACAATATTTGAAATTGTTCACTGCGAGATACGAAACGGTTGAAATTATTTCCGGTATAAAAATAATCTCACCAGCCTATGGCAAGATAACAGGGGCCGAAACGTACCGCGGAAGAAATTATTGGTGTTAATCTAGACCGTGCCAGGAATCTTTTCATAGCCTCTTCTTATAAACGTCTCTTCGTAGCCTCTTCTTATGAACTTCTCTTTGTAGCCTCTTCTTATGAACGCCTTTTCGTATTTAGATCGGCAATAACAAGCACGATCGAATATTAGACCTAACGGTTCTCCGTATGTCAACAGAACGTCCACAAACATTTGGCGCGTACACGCGACACACGAGAGCTGCTTTTGAAAGACGGCAAAATATTAACGGTTCTGCGGACGTTTTGAGCGGATTGTATCTAGCAACTTCTAGCCTATTCGATTAAATTACGTAATATCAGACTCTTTTTTTTTTAACGGATCTACAATCGTGCAATCGGCATTACAGTGGAAAACGAAAGTATTAGAACGACAGGTTTCCATATTCACATTATTGTAATAAATTCTTGGAAAATTTGTTGTGCGTATTATTTCATATTTTTTTCTTACATTCGTATGGCTTAATACATTTAAGAGAATACACGAATAAATTTGTTCGATCTACCGTAAAATTTGTACAGTTTTCTTACACAAACAATTGAATATCGTATCGTACGTATATTTTCGTTGCACATTATACATCTACTAAAAAAAATATTAAATTTACGATACAATTTGTTCAAGATTTTTTGCATTGTTTCTTGCTTGTTATGCCAATTTGATCCATTTATAATATTATTTAATATACAAAGTTCTATGAAGTGGTGACTATGAAATGTTTAACAAAATAATTCATTTACGTTCAACTGAATAGAACTATTGATAAACAGAAAATCAATTTCTACTGATCTCTCATTTTCAACTAACATACCATAATAAATTTGAAATTCACACAAACAATCAGTTTAGTCATATAAGTGCTGTAAAACCAATCGAATATAGGTACATAACTTTGAGCATGGAGATATACCTATCCAGTACGCCTTGATGTCGCGTGCGACATTTACAAAACGAATTTTCCCTTTCATGTAACCTGTTGTTGGTCAATCGCATAATAAAATTTCATTGTTTCACCGGCTCCCCTGGAGACTGGATTTTTCAACGAAAGAATTTCTTCGAAGTGTGTCATGCGTTTGGGATCGTTATCGAAGCTCGTTCTTTCGTAATGACCGATTCACTAGCCGATGTGTTCCGACATTGTAATAGACCACGCCGCTAAAAGATGACTGTCCCGTTAAATGATTTGTTTTTTCTGGAACGTATAACGATAAGTAATTACTCTCATATTACTCAGAAAAAATACTTTTCACATCGGAAAACAAGAAGAAACCAGATTTCAGGATTTATTGGGACATTTGAATCATAGAAATAAGTAATAAAAATACCTCAACGTTTTCAGTTCGTTGAAATTGGAATTGGTGTCTCGGAAACATTCTTGGCGCGTTTTCGCGCGTAACAACATTTGTAAATAATTTTTTTTATTGGTCTCTTTGCTTGACATCCTGGACATATTGAATAACTATCGCGGGTTTGTTTTTCTTTTCGCTAAGCCGGCCGTGGCCTTGATATCGCACGTGGCACAGCTTCGCGATGGCCCCAGAGGTTCGCCGCGATCGGCGTCAATATGGCAGGAAATGAAAATCCCACCGTTAATTTAAACTTCGCCCGATAGAACCGGGTCTAGCCGTGTACTAATTAATTCAGTCGGTTCTGCGATACGTGCCACCTCGAGCGTAGCACTTATTGTCCTAATACATATGTATACATATGTTTCCATGAAAAATCGTTCGATGTTATGGAAAAATTCTTCGTTACAATTATACATATAAATAGAAAAGACAACTGTGTCCATAAAAACAAAATAGAGTGAATTGACCACTTCAGTTTTCAATTAAAACAGCACGAAAATAGAAAAATAGAGCAAATGCGAGTAACAGAAATTTAAACGATCAGAACCACTTTTTTTCAAAATGTGGCACTTTATAAACAATTAACTTTGAACAAATCAGTGAAGACATAAAACTGAAACGAAAAGTAATTTCTAATATATTTATAACAATAATAATAATACCTTTATTACAGCAAATATTAAAATCTCAAAATAACAGTGTGGGATAGTGAATTCGTTAGAATTTAAAAAACCCCAATTTTACTTGTACTGTAATAATTGTAATAGTTACGTAACTGTTAAGTGTATGTGTATATTTTTTAAATAATTATCGAAGAAGAATCGATCAAAATCGAAAATTTCAAACTGCCCGTGTAAAAGTTACTCGAGACGCGTGATAGAATCCCGCTTTTCATAATTCGAAGGAAAAGAAAGATTGGATTGCCTATTTCGGGGGGAGGAGGGAGATTCGCCCGAACCCGGATCTTTGGTTGCCGGCCGACTGCTTTAGCCAATTAAGCTGTCCAGGCAGTTCACGAATTCTTTTTCCCTAAGCCTCGTATCCTGTCGAATGAGTACAGGCGGTTAAAAGGTCTGCGCTAAATGAGTCGTGCGCGCGGTCTCCAAAATACGAACGGTGATCGTGCAATAATGATTCACCCAAAAGGAGACGTGATAAAGGTCCCCCGGAGAAAATGTCCATGCGGTCAGCCGTGTTCATGTAGAAAATATGTGCTGGTTTCGGTTCTAATGAATTCGCTGCGACATACATCGTACATTTTTGCCTTTTTTTTATTAGTAAATTAATAGATACTAGTTCCGTTAAAAAAAATAACTTTCGTTAGAAAGAAGATTGAAAAAAAAAAAGAAATTCTAAAGCATTGAAAAGAAAACGTAATAAGTATAATTTTCGAATTGTTTTGATTGCAAGTTGATTGAAAGAAGAAAAGGAATTCTAAAGAATTAGATAAAGAATATAATAAGTATAATAAATCGTAAACGTGTAAGCAAAGGTACCTGTTGTCTTGAGGTCAACTGAACTTCAGTCGATAAACATGATAATATTATATACTTTGCAGGAGTTTATTTTTCCTCGAAATGTTGCAAGATATAAGCGACAGGAAAGCGAATATATTGAATGTACTTGAGATTGAGAATTATACCGAAAATACATACAGTTGTTTGATTTGAATTTTGAAATACTCGTACCTCTATATATGTCCTGTGCCGAAGTGAATGTATTCACTTTATTTCCAAGAAACATTGTATTGAATTTAACTAAACAATGACGAAAATTAATGTGTTGCCTATATTTGTGGTTGTGAGTCAAAGCTCCATGGTGACGTTACGCCATTGATGTGTGTATAATCGGTTGACTTAATTTCTTCAAGGAAAACATTTTTTTACTACACTCTGTTCTGCTGTAAATACAAATTTTACCTTCTAGAAGTAAATTAAGATACAAACCTAATTTTTTTTTTAATTGAACGTGAGTTGTTCTCTTATAAATTATTACTTTCTAATTTCTTATTAAAACTGCTGATATTTACAAGAATGTAGGTTCTGAAGTTTTGCTGTACTTTTAATGCAATGTTTGGCTTAGTAGTATTTTTCATAATCATGTCATTTTTATCGATCTGTAGAATTAGGTAAATGTCAATCATAAATGTGTGAACTATATTGTACTCTTTATGCTTACTGTTAACCTTTGACTATATAAACAATATTAATATTTCTGAAAAATTATTTGTTTCTCAGATTATTATCAGATACCGATTTCTTTTATTGGACGGTTTAATAAACGCCTCAAAATCGGAAAATGAAATATTTTATCGTAATAGTTCTTATCAAAGTCTCTTACATTTAATCATTTACGAGGCTTTTAATTATTAAAAAATTGATCAAATTTCTATTAAATCTGAACTCAAACTCTTAGTTCAAAATTTACTTTCATTTCGAACAGAATTTCGAAAATAAGATTTTTAACAAAGATCAGGTAGAAATACCTTCGATCATTGGAAAACATTCCCTCTGATTTTAGCCTTTTTACTACCATACTATTTCTAAACTGAATTCTATCCTTCGATTTTCCTTATATTTAATTGTCACACGCATTATCATCCGCCAGAAAATCGTAATGATTTCTCACTGGAATCTTGTAGAATTCTTTGGTACAAAAATTCTCTTTAACCTTTAGACTACCTAACTAAAGACTGGTATTTTTTCATAATAAAAGTGGTCTTTCTTTGACAATAGATATTTATGTATAGATATAACATATGCACTACGCTCAGTTTCGAGTTTTGTCAGTTTCCCAAAGGGGATACCTCCGGCAAAGTATGGTAGTAAAATGAAAAAATTTCTCAGTTTTTGGTGAAAAGTATTTCTGGCGGTTGTTGATATCCGCCGATTGCGATTCCGAAGTCAGACTAGAAATTTTCTTAGACTACTAGACCTTCTTGCCAACGTCGAAAAACATAAACAAATAAACATATATATGCACATATTTAGAAAACTTTGAAAAATCAGAATTAAATTTTTTCTTTTCTAGTTAATTTTGTTTTTAGTTCACTATTTATTAATTCACACATACATGCACACAAGCTTGCGCGCATGCGCACATACAATATGTATTTTTCATTCAATGTGCAATAATAGTCGGTTATTTATTAACTAACTTAAGGTTCAAAAACTGATACTTCCGGAAGTTTACCCCCTTGCTCTATACCATCGACGAGTCAGACTCGTGTTGACGATTTCA